CCAAGATCCATTGGACATCAGCAATGATATCCCTCATACCACGTCCTCTTCTGAATCCAGCTTGAACCTCTGAAAGTTTTCTGTCAATGTATGCTTCCAGTTGTTTCTGTATTACCTTTAGTAAAATGTTACTATCAAACTTTAGTAAAACTTTACAATATCAAAGAGATTGTCTGATGATTTCTGCATTCTGTTGGGTTACCTCTCTTTGGAATGGGCACAATCAGTCAGCCAGATAGTTGCCTTCTAAATTTCTTGGCAGAGATGAATGAGTGCCCCCTTTGCCTTCTCACTTTCTTGAAAGATTTAAATTTTTATTCCATCAATTCCTGGTGCCTTGTTCTTTGCCAATTCCTTCAACGCACCTTGGATATATTCCTTCAGTATCATTGGTTCTTGATCATATGCTACCTCTTGAAGTGGTTGAACATCAGTCATTTCCTTTTGATACAGTGACTCTGTGTATTCCTTCCATCTTCTTTTGATGATTTCTGCATCATTCAATAATTTGCCCAGAGAATCTTTCAATAATGGAAGTCGAGCCTTGCATTTTTTTCTTCAGTTCCCCCAGCTCGTGAAATGCTGAGCGTGTTCTTCCTTTTTGGTTTTCTGACTCCAGGTCTTTGCACATTTTGTTGTAATATTTGGCTTTATCTTCTCAAACTGATCTTTGAAACTCTCTGTTAAGTTCTTTTACCTCTTCATTTCTTCCATTTGCTTTAGCATCTCTATGCTGGAGAGCAAGTTTCAGTGTCTCTTCTGATATCCATTTTAACCTTTCCTTATTTCTTGTCTTCTTAATGACTTTTTGCTTTCTTCATGTATGAAATTCTTGAAATCATCCCACAACTCTCTGGTCTTCTGTGTTTAGTGTTTGATGTGTCAAATCTGTTCTTCAAATGATCTCTAAATTCAGGTGGGATATATTTATATTTTGGCTCTCGTGGACTTGTTTTCATTTTCTTCAGCTTCAGTTTGAATTTGCATATGAGAAATTGATGGTCTGTTCCACAGTCTGCCCATGCCCCCTCATATCTTCAGTCAAAACAATGTCAAAACAAGGTGTGTGATATGTGGGTAATAATAATAATCCCCACAGCCGGTTTCCTCCATGGGTCAGAGTAGGACAGTGCTCCACAGGGTTCTCAGGGACTGAGTTTTTGGAAATAGATCTTAAGGCCTTTCTTTTCAGACTCAAACCTCTAACCTTTTAGTTAGCACCTCATTCAGTTAATCATTGGCACCACCCAGGAACTCCAATAATAATAATAATAAGTAATCTTTAGCAAACACTAGGTGCCAGGTCTTGTTCTAATAACTTCATTCTCATTTTGCTTAACTTTTATGGAGGTAGAAACTATCATTATCCTTTTAAAAATACATATCTAAGAGAAGACTGACACACACAATTTTATGTAATAGCCAGTTGTTATTGTTAAGTGCTGTCAGTTGGTTCTGACTCATAGTAACCCTGTGTAGGGTTTCTGAAGAATAGCTGTTGGGTTTTACCTGCCAACCTTGCAGTTAGCTGTTCAGTGCTTATCCTACAGTGCCATGTCAGGACTTTAGGGAATAACCTATGAGTAGGTTATTTATTTAAAACTGGACTACAAACCACAAGACCACCAGCTGCACCATGGGAGAAAGATGAGGTTTTCTGCTCACACAAAGATTGAAAGCCACAGAAATCCTATACAGAATTGATATGAGTTGGAACCAACTTGACTCAACAAAAACAAACAAATTGGAAGCCCAGAGGGTGAGACTTATATTACTCATCCTTTGCATATTATAGTAATACTTAATTCATTATCCTTTGCTTCTGGTGTGGCACTGTGGGTTAATGTGCTGGACTGCATAGTCTGTTTGAACTGCAAATATGGTGGTTCATTCTTATTGGCCCTTTCTGGGAAAACCCTATACAGAGTCACTATGACTCAGAACACACTCAAGACACTGAATAACAACAACAAAGAGAAAAGGAGTTCTGGTGGTACAGTGGGCTGCTAACAAATATGAGCCACTCTGGGAGAACAATGTATTAGATTTACAGCCTTGGAAACCCTATTAAGCAATTCTATTCTACCCTGGTGTGGCAATGTGGGTTTAATGCACTGGACTGCAAAGTCCTTTGAACAGCAAGATTGGTAGTTCAAGCTCACCAACCGCTCTTCAGAAAACCTATACAGGGTCTCTATGAGTCTTTTTTCTGTGGAGTAGTTTGGGAACTTAAACTACTGACCAGGTGATTAGTAGTCCAATGCTTATCCTACAGTATATCATTAGTGCACCTTTAAACCAAGAGGCAGCAAACTTTTTCTGTCGAAAAGTATTATTGCAAGTATTTTTGTCTTTGTAAACCATATGATTTTTGCAAGGATTATTCACCACTGCCTTTGTTGTCAACTGGAAGGCACCTAACAGCAGCAACAGCAGTTGTTTTGGGAAGAAGCAATCTAGATTACTCAAAGGCAGAAAAATAACCAGAAAAATATTCAGGGAGGGGATGGATTATAAGAAAGGTATGGTTATGCAACATCACTATTAACTACACATGTGACTCACAATCATACTTTTAAGGAAATATTAATAGAACATTTCCAAAAAATGGTTGCACTATCCAAATAAGTTAATGATCTTTCAAGATGACCAGTTAGAGGGGAAAAAAATGCTTATTTCTTTATAATAAATGGCTTATACCATGCAAAATCTAGAAGGAAAATATTGATATAAAAATATTTTTACATTTCATTGCACATGTATACATATGCATCATAATTAAACTTAGCATCCGTATTCATTATTGTCACGTAAATTTTTAAAACCATTAACTATTTTAGTTGCAGTTTGCAAGTACCAATATTAAAAAAATGAATTTTGGAAACTGATATCTTAATGTTTGTAGTAGAACTTGAATTTGCCATGATGGAAAAAACATTAACTAAAATGCCAGTGATGTTTACAGGCATCCTGTCTTCTTATCTAGCAAAGAGAATTTTCCTTCTAGTACCCACTGCTAAATTGTAAATGTTTCTTGATGGGTTAGTCAATGATGATACAATCAATTCATAAGAGCAAATTTTCTTTTTGTAGTGACTAGACTATCCCTATAGCAAGCAAGATGGTTATAAATATTTTCTCAATGATACTAATAATTTTCTGATGCTCCAGTGATTCAAGAAATGCCAGGTTTTATTAGGCAGTTCATGTACTTCTGTATTATGCTGACTAGAAAGATTACAAGTCTTCATCTTTCTCTTCCCAGGGATGGAAGCTGCTATGAGTACAACTATTGGAATTCACCGTCAAACTCAAAACACTGAGCCATGTCCTGTTCCTTGCTTAGGTCCCCCACCTCCATATGAAGAAATTCTAAAAACAAGCCAACTTTAGATCTGGATCATTACTTGACAGTATTTCTAATGACAAAACATTAAGTTTAAGAAAATTACTTTCATTTAGTGCAGAATTCCCAGAGATCAATTGGTATACTTCGGAAAAAAAGGATTATTAAACAAAAAAGGTGATGATGTGGGATGAAAATGGTGATGGGAAGGTTTCAGTAGTGAATTAATGGATTCTTGATACATTACTACTGTGTTATAACTTTTATTTTTTGTTTATGTTTTGGAGAGAAACAATCAAGAGTATTTAAAGGCAGAAAAAGAAACAGAAAAAAAATTTCAAGAAAGGGATGGATTTTAAGAAAGACATGATTATATAAAATTATGATTAACTTCTTGATTGATTCAAAATCATGCTTTCAAGGAATTAGTAATAGAATGTTTCCAAAAAATGGTGGCACTATCCAAATAAGTTAATGATCTTTCAAGATGACCAATTTGAGGAAGAATGTGCTTGGGTTTTTTCATATAATAAATGACTTGTAGTATGCCAAATCTAGAAACTGAAAATTTGATATCAAAACTTAAAAAATTTTTAGAACTCCTTCTCTTCATTGCATATGTATACTCTTCACAACCAAGTTAATGTTTCTCTACTGGCACCCAAATGAGGGAGTTTCAGTTGTTAAATTTAGGATTGCACTTCAGAATACATTACACCTTTCTTTGACTCAATATCTTTATTTTAATTTGACTTCTCCTCTAGTGTGGAGTCAATGTAGCTTTTATCACATTTAGCAATGGCCGAGTAAAGATTCACACATCTCCAGATGCAGAGCTGTAAAGAGTACATTTGAATTTGAGCATGAGATAAAATGTAGAAAGAAGATAGATCCCTAAGTGTTTTTGTGTACACCCCCTCTCCCCATAAAAAGAAAGAAAGAGGAAATAGAAGTAAATGCTATTTAATGATAATGGACTGAAGAGATTGTAATCATTGCAATGAAACAATAATTGTAAAGCTGATGTTCTCCCATGTAAATGATCACTCAATTCACAATAAAAACTGAAAAAATATATACATTGAAAGAAAAAAAAATGTTTAGGATAGAAGGGTAAAAGATGAATGAAGAGGATTACAAGTCTCAAATCAAGTGATTATATGTCTCAGCTCAAGGAGGGGAAAAGTGTAGGTAAAAGTTGAAGATTACTTAAAATCTGAAGATTACATGTAACACTACTATGGAGAGACGATGGACAATTGTAATGTCCATCAGTAAGGCAACAGGGGAAGCAATCCATGGCAAATTCCATATTGTCTTTTTTTGGGGGGGAAGTTTTTATTGTGAATTGAGTGATAGTTTAAATGGGAGAACATTGGTTTTACATTTACCCTATTATATTTCATTACATTAAAATGCTCACAATCCCCTCCATGCATCATCATTCAACACTATTTGCTTCTATACTGCTGTTTTTTGTTTGTTTGGTTTTGTTGTTGCTTTTTGATGTAAACAAAAACACTCAGGAATATGTAATCATTTAAACAATCAAAGGGCACATTCTGCAAGCCTGTCTTCTGGTCACCAGCACACGGCCTTTCTCTTTCCATGAGTCTAGTATCTTCAACTGCTCTGTCTCTCCATGTCATCATCTATGCCTCTATCTCTGGTGTTGTTGCTTCTCTGGATAGTGTCCCACATTCTGCTGATGCTCTTCTCCCTTGATAGTCCTAGGGTCCTCTGTTCCTAGAATGTAAGATCAACCACTCTCTTTATGTTACAAAACTTCTACCTTTACAGTTGTGACAATCACAATTAGTCATTATAACAATTACTCACTATTGAATCATAAGAATCCTATACCCATCTCCTTTTACCAGACCCATCTAGACAAGATGAAAACTATCCAGTGGTGACTCTATCTTCCCCCAACACATTCTTAAAGAAAACTCACTCTTGAAAACTTGTAAGTGAGCCACTTTGTGCCTTTATAGCCCTTTTACCCCCCATTTTAGGTAGCCAGGATCTAAGTTGCCCCTCTCTATCTACCCTCTGTACTGAGGGATGTTTGATGCTTAATATTTTTTATTTGGTATCTTTTTTTTTGGTATTTGATCTCTTTTATTTGGTATTTTGAGCTACTACATCCAAAAGTATAGGTCAAATTCATCAAATTGTAGCAATTTACACTTGTTTCCTTTATCAAATTTCTTTATTTTCTTCTAGTTGAGTTCTGAACATCAAGCCATCGAAGCTAGGTCAAATGAGTACTATCTGCCAGTTTGGGCATTCTTAGGTGTTTCCATTCACTTCATCTCAGCTGGACACTTCATTCTCAGCTCAAGCCCTCCATGGCTATGCCCATGTCCATGGGCTCAGGAATCCTTAGGTATTACCACACTTTGGACCAACCAGCCCATCCTCATCTCCATGTCAACAGGAGTCTATGGAACATGATTGAACTAAGCCCATATCATCATTGTTGCCTTTCCTCCTCTTACATTCACCTGTTGACCAATGTGGTCACCAGCAAGCTTACATGCCTACTCATGTATTCCATTTGAGTTTCAGTCTTGGAGGGAGGGTTGCTGTCTTGAAAGGACTTGATTGTTTGCCTTGATGACTCTCTTGCAAATAACTTACTTGTTCTTGTAATAGCCAATCAGATTTTGTTTTTGTTTTTTATTTTTCTTGCTGGTCTTTCTTTCAAGAAGTATCTTCTGTTCCTCTAGCCACTCCAGGCTGGTCTGCATGTCCTTTCAAATGGGAATGTCCCACCTCAGAAGGTTCTGGATGGGGCTCAGGATTCCACCTAAGGTCCTAAATACTATAAAGGCTCCACAAGAAGCCATGTCACTGGGCAAGTTCTAGAACCCCTTTTAGGTATTCTAATCAGTTACAGGTGGGCTTATAAGCCATGTGATCTTTAATTAATATATTTGTTAAAGAAATCAACCAACATCTCCACTTGGTTGTCTAAAACACATTTCAAATTAAGCTTGACTAAATCTATCTCCTAAGTATCTTTTTCCAAACCTGATTTATAAAAAACCTTTTATATCTCAGGGAAAGTAGCTGTTACCTTCCAATTGCTCATACCAAAGAACCTGGAGTCACCTTTTGAGTCCTCTCCTTGTGTTACATATAGACTAGCAGGAAATCTTGGAGTCTTGGGTGGCTCAAATGATTAAGTACTTCACTGCTAGCCAAAAGTTTGTTGTTGCAAATTCACCCAAAAACTCCACTTAAGACAGGCCTGGTGATTTGCTTTCAAAGCATCACAGCCTTGGCCAACATATAGAGAAGTTCTATCCTATACCCATGAGGTTGCTATGAGTTTGCATCAATTCAATGGTAACTAACAACAACCTTCAAATAGTCTCTTACCACATGTCTTGTATGAGCTACTCACTGTCTGTTCTTGCCTTGATAAATGCAAAGAAGGATATGCCAGAACACTTAACTATGAGGAAGCTTTAAATAGAGTAAGTTGCAGTCATTCTAACAGAAGAAGGGGACACTGAATGAATTAAAAATGTATCCATTTACAATTATCTTTGCTCTTCTGTAATCTACTTAACAACACAGTAGCTAAAACAATCACTTTACAACATAAGCAGGATCATGGCCCTTTCCAGTAGAAGAATTCTAAACTCCTCACAGGTGACATATATGATCCACACCCCTCCAGATCTCCTGTCTTCCTGCTTTCTCCTTATCCACTTATTCCAGGTTTCCTCCTTATCCAATTGTACCAACCCCACATTCACCTTAAGGAGCCCTGGTGGCATAGTGGGTTACTCACTTGGCTGTTAGCTCAAGGTCAGCTGCTCAAAGCCATCAGTGGCTACTTGGGAGAAAGAGGAGGTTTTCTGCTTCTGTAATGATTTGTAGCCTCAGAAACCATAAAACAGGGTTGCTAAGAGTTGGAACCAATTCTAGAGCACACAACAATAGTAGTTTTCCACTATGAGTCCAGAACTTGCTATTAAGACGTCTGGAAGGTCTTCATCCACCTATCAATGTTGCTTCCACCCCTCACCTTTTTTAAGTCTTTGTTTAAATGTCAACTTCTCAATAACAATCGCGTTGAGTCTTAAAATTGCAACTTCTCCCAACCGTCTTCCCACCCCTTTATTCCAGCTACAGGATTTATTTCCCATTACACTTATTATCTCTAGAATTGTCTGACGATTTCCCCAATAATATACTGGGGAAATCATCAGACAATATCATTAATATCACAGTCAAGCAAAATTTTGCTAAAGAAAATTAAGAAACACCTGTAACAGTACATTGACAGGAAACTGCCAGAGGTTCAAACTGGGTCCAGAAGAGGATATGGAGCAAATGATATCATTGCTGATGTCATTTTGGTCTTGGCTGAAAGCAGAAAATACCACAAAGATGTTTACCTGTGCTTTATTGACTATGCAATATTGATTGGGTGAATCATGACAAGCAATGAATAATACTGCAAAAAAATGGGTATTTCAGAATGCTTACTTATTGTGGAATCTGTAAATAGACTAAGAGGCGGTCATTCTAACAGAACAAGGGGACCCCAAATGAATTATAAATAAGAAATGTATGTGCCATGGTTGTATTCTTCACTATACTTATTCAATCTGTATGCTGAGCAAATAATTTGGGGAGCTGGATTATATGAAGAAGAATGTGGCATCAAGACTGGAAGATGACTCATTAGCAACCTGGGATATACAGATAATACAATCTTGTTTGCTGAAAGAGAAGACGACTTAACATAATTAGTGATAAACATTAAAGACCATGGCCTTCGGTATGGGTTGCATTTCAATGTAAAGAAAACCAGAATCATTATCAGTGGACCAAAAAATAGCATCATGATAAATGGAGAAAAAATTGAAGTTGTCAAAGACTTCACTTTGCTTGGATCCACTGTCAATACTTATGGGAGCAGCAGCAAAGAAATCAAAATATGTATTGCATTAGTCAAATCTATTGCACAAGATCTACTTAAAGTATTGAAGAGCAAAGATGCCAGTTTGAAGACTAAGGTGTGCCT